TATGTGCACTCGTGTGTACACACACAAATTTCATTCACAAAATGCCGCAAAATATGCAATAAAAATGCACTTAAATTTTTCTCATATAAATACGCTTCATTATGAACTTTCCAAATATGTATGCGCGTGTGTGTGTTCACTTCCCATGGTCCTGTTTACGCCTCAAATCATGCAACCGACTGCATTATGACTGAATAGAATGTGGCGCATAAATTTACCATTTTTATGTCATAGCCTTTTAACTCTAGTATGTATAGCTTATGTAGCAATAAGCTGTGCCCAAATACAGTCCGCGGCAAATATATGCATACTTTGAAGTTTTGACGATTTTATTTACATGTTTATATTTTCCATACGGAAATTTTTAATCTTTTTTTTTTTATAAATATATAGTTCATTCAACGCCAAAACAACAAGAATAATTTCGTACAGTACTCGGAAAAAAGCAAGAAATACGCAGAGATTTTAAATTTTTCAATTCGAATCCTCTGAAAAATTTAGAGTATGGAATTTTGTAGCCCATTAAGCTTTAGTGCAAGTTTCAAGTCGCTAAAAATAACCGTTGATTTTTGAGAATTTTTTTGTTATAAGTGTTGGTCATTTTCTTCCATATAAAAATAAAAATTTTAAATTTTATTGAAAGTTTCTTGGTATTTCTTGTATTTTCCAGTGTTCTGTATAAAATTAAACGAATTTTGAATGAAATATTACTGACGCAGAGTGTATGCACATTAGGGTGGTTCATAAAAAATCAAATGAGCGACTTTTTTCAGTTTCACCCCCTCAATTGGCAATACCACGATCACAGATATCACATATAAATCTTGATCCCGATAGGAGACGGTTAAGGCGTGTCGCAAAAGGGCCAGATGCCTCTATAGACTCAAAAAATTAAAAAATATTTTTTTCATTTAAAACCCAAAATAGATACTACTAAATTTGAAGATATCACATATAAATTTTGGTGTGGAGACTCAAAAAATTAAATAATTTTTTTTTTTCATCTAATACCCAAAATCGAGTACTACTATAGTCGTAGATCGATACTACTTAAGTCGAAGATATCACATATACATTTTGGTTCCGATTGCTGTCGGTTAAGCCATTTTCATAGGGTAGATAATCTGAAGTTTGACCCCTGTGCGACACGCCTTAACCGACTCCAATCGGGGCCAAAATTTATATGTGATATCTTCGACTAAAGTAGCATCGACGCAGGGTTTGAGGCTTAAGCTGGGATCCCACGATTGCCGCAAATCCAAAAATCACTGAAATTAATATCCTTGTTTTCGGAAGCAACATAACTTTTAAATTAATTTGTAGTGAAATTATAATTTTTCTTGAAGTCCGATAACGGAATCTTTCCCGCGATATATACCACCACAAGCAAAACTCATACGAGAAGAATACGAAAGGTATATTATGTCACCAAATGGCGGACTGCCACGACAGTATAAATTTATTAAACAAAAAACTTAAAAGTTCAATACAGCCCACGACAAAGCAGTAGAACCTCAACATTTTGACCAGTATTGACTATTTTTCTTCTACTTATTTAATCTTCATTATTTTCGTATAAAAGTATAGCTCATTGTCTAACAAAAACTGCATAAATCCAAATTGCAAGCTTTATACAAAAATTATAAAAATTTCTTAAACTTTTGAACACAGTCCCACGGTTTATAATTTGGATTTCTAGAAAAAAATGGTTATTTAGTTTTGTAGCTCATTAAAATTTAGTACAATAAGGTGGAGGTTTGAAGTTGCTAAAATATCCTGTTGATTTTTTATAATTTTTTTAGCTGACGGTATTATGCACCTTCTTCTCTGTAAATTACTTTGTAAACTGCCAAACAAAATTTTTTCTAGAAACCCAAATTAAAAACCATTGAATTGTG